TGTAAGCTGCTCTGTACAGAGACTGATGTGAGTGTGGGGGGGGGGGACATTAGAGTGTGAGCTCCTCTGTACAGAGACTGATGTGACTGTGGGGGAGGGGACATTAGAGTGTGAGCTCCTATGGTGCAGACAGATGTTGCTCAGTGTTCTTCGTTATGTGTAAAGTGCATCTTTGCTATTGAAGGTATATTTGATGCAGTTGAGTTGGAGTTGCCCTTTAAATGGTCATGAAGCAGAGGGATAACCATGACTCGGGTAATAAGGATAAAGCACTTACACATGCCATTCGGAGCCATTGGCGGCCGCGGTCCCATCATCCCACCTGGCATAGGGGGCATCGCTGTCTGCGGGGGTGGGGGGTGAGGTTGTCCAGCTGCTGGGTGCATGTTGGGCATCATTCGGGCTCCTATAGGAGGTCCGGGCATCATGGAGCTGGGCCCAGGCATTTGACCTGCACCAATAAGATCACAGGAAGTTAATCTCCATGGTTACTGCGATACGTCAGTCATCTGACTGACAAGGGAGGAGGAGGAGCAATGCTCACGGGGGTATGACAGATAGCGGGGGGTGAAGGGGGGATACCAGACTGGAGGGTCCCTATGCACGCTCCGCACTCCTGGGGTGATCCGGGGGCCACACAGGCGACAAGCTCTATTCTGCCCCCTGCTGGTGTGAGGGGAAACTACAACCTGGAATTAAACTAATATTGTCATCTGTGCCGATACCACACCAGCCAACCTAGCCCCAGAACTCAGCACATAGCCGACCATGGAACTGTAGAGTCCACGGGGGTCCGTTAAAAAGAAAATTACGTATCTAAGGGGAGGACACAAGGGGAGGACACAAACTAGGGTCCTCCCGTCACTCTAAGCTCAGTATATAGGAAGCTACAGCTCGCGGTATACTGAGACCACCCCAGCCGGGACGGAACCGGACAATACTGTCTGGATCCACCCAGCTGCGTGAGTGACAGCGGGCTCTGCCTATCTAGAGGCTGTACCCGCCCCCTCCCCCGTCAATTGCGCCAGTCAGCGCTGGAGGATTGGAGAGGGGGGAATCCCTGCAGGGAGCCGTGAGTGACAGTCACCTCTCTCTGCAGGGATAGATCGAGAAGTGAGCGAGCGACGGTATGTGTTCGCTCACCTCCCGATCTACTGAGCCGACGCGTCACAGTTTCATTGTCACACGTCGGCTCGAACTATGAAGAGTGGAAATCACTCACTTCTCCTTTAAGGAAAACTGCGGGAACATTAAATGGGGCAAAATCAAATGTTCTCGGTGTCATTCTTCTGGTGGAATGTTCTTTAAAAATTGGGAAAATATCACATTATGGGCGACAGATGGAGCGCAAAACACATGCAGGTTATTCAGCAGATACAACGGAAGGAAACGCTGAAAGAACATAAACAGTCAAAGTAACCATTGAAGTCGCCGCGGTAACAATAGTTACATTTATAAGCTCACTTCCTCCCGGGGTCTCTAGAATTGTAACATTGTAACTCTTCAGTAACATGGACTTCCTGCGATCCTCCGCTCCATCTCGGAGGTCAGCATGGAGTATTGTCCCCCATTATAGAAACATTCCACCAGAAGAGAAGTGACACAAATTCTCCCATCAGAGGGAAAGCTCGCAGGGAAGGAACGCGTCGGCGGCGTCACCGGATGAACGCGCAATGTTGGTCTGTTTATGAGACCCCTAAAGGGCTGAAGAGTCCCTCAGATATAAGCGCAGCGGTAATAATCGGGAACAGAGCAGAATTATCCATACAGGACCTGGCCCCCCCAGCGTACGTCCACTCGTATAGTTTGGGCTTATAGTTACGTCCCCTCAGGTCACTCTGCACCCATCTTTGTAAATGGCTCCCAACTGTTGAAAAGAAAAAGGTCACCACCACCAGTGCAGACACAACCGCCATCATTCACCACACCTCTCCTATACAAGACCATAAACACACTATGGGGGGGGCATTTATCAAGGCTGAAGAGAGAATCTGGAGCAGTTGCCCGTAGTAACCAATCAGCTTCTCTCTTCAGTTGTGATTTGAAAATGAAAAAGTGAAGCCGATTGGTTGCAGTGGACAGCTGCGCCACATTTTGTCTGCTCCCCCTCACTATATTTTAATCTGCTTGGAGTATGTTGCAGCCTTTGCTGAAGCTGAACTCCAGGCGGATGAAATACCCGCCAAAGGATTTGAATTTTTTTGGTCCAACCAGTTCTGAAAATTACACTGCGCAGCGCTGTCTGGCAGGAGGAGACCAGATCTTTGCGAGCTGCTGATAACACGGGTCTAGTCACCTCCCCCAAAAGGATAACATGGCTCTAGTCACCTCCCCCAAAAGGATAACACGGGTCTAGTCACCTCCCCCAAAAGGATAACATGGCTCTAGTCACCTCCCCCAAAAGGATAACACGGGTCTAGTCACCTCCCCCAAAAGGATAACATGGCTCTAGTCACCTCCCCCAAAAGGATAACAAGTCTAGACACCTCCCCCAACCTGTGACTGGACAGTAAAAAGGAGAAGCAGCAGAGTAATGAGCTCATCTCTCTGCTCTCTTCTGTCAGCATGTTCCTTGCAGCACACCCAACTGGCTCCTTGTGCTGCTCCTCTCTATTCCAGTCTGAGCTTTGCTGCATAGGAGGTTAGCAAGAGCCTGAAACCAGGTCAGATCCAGCTACTTACACCGCTCGTGTTTAAAGTTACATCAATCTGTAAATGTTATATCTGCCCGAAGCGCCGCCGCCCCACGGATGAAGCGCCGCCGCCCCACGGATGAGGAGTAAGTGGCACTGTAGTGAATGGAGACCCAGCTCTGACAACATTGTGCATTATGAGCACATCTTTGTGTCTATGTTGGCTGTCAGCTCCAACCCAGGCTGCGGCCCAATTTATAGGCGTTACAATAGGGGAGCTACAGCACTGCAGCCCCCAATCCCTCTCCCCCGGTAGTGATCTCAGCTGCCCCTCCCCCTGCTGTGGTGAATGACAGCACTATAGCCACCACCTCCTTTTCTTCACTACCTCGCTGCTTGTGTTGTGGATCGAGCTGACACCCCCCCCCCCTATGCTGAATGACAGCGATCATCTTCTGTGCATGCCTGCTGCCAAAGACAAGTGCTGTGGCTCTGGCCTCATTAGCAGCAGCACGGAGAAACAGCAGCGCTGATTGGGGAGCCGAGCGTGGTCAGCCACAGCACAGAACGGGACCAAGTCCTACATGCACTAGGTCCCCTGGGGGAGGAGGGGTTTGGACAATTTTAAAGTTATGGTGATACTATAAGCTTTTTACCCCATCTACCTGTATACTGGGCTGTGGGGGGGAGCGGGCCCTTTATCCCTATGTAATGGATTACAACTACCTAATGTATAAATCCACCGCCACGGACCAAGTGCTTAGCTTCAACTGTACACAGAAGCCACCCTTCATAGAAGAAATTCTGTCTTTGCCATATTATCTCGGCCAGTTGGACGCCATTCTCATTCTGCCATTCCACACAAGAGTGAACACCAGCCCAGATGAAGAACGCCGTGAAGCTAAGCACGCTGGTGAGAGAAAGTAAAAAAAAAAAAATGTTCCCCCTCTCCCCCACCAATCAAATATTCTAAACTTACCACTCCCCTGCCAATGGCCAGAATACATGCCTGCTTGTGGCGGATGGGCAGGTGGCATCTGGTGGTGAGCGCCATAGGGAGGTGGCTGCGGTTGCTGTGGGAGACCCATCATCCCCCCGGGGTGGGGAGTAGGAGGGATGTGGCCCATACCGGGGGCTCCAGGGCCTGGTGATGGGTGCTGGGGATTCGGCCCGTGCTGCTGCAGGTTCTGCCCGTGTTGCTGCTGCTGTTGCTGCTGTTGTTGCTGTTGCTGCTGTAGGTTCTGCTGCTCCATCTGCTGGCGCGCCCGCATCTCGGCGTACTTCAGCTGCTCCATGTGGAAGTTCTGGCGTTCAGTCAGGAGCTGCTGACGCTGCTGTTCCAGCTGGAAGAACACCGGAGAAAATTTGATAAAGAGTATTATACACTTTACTAATAATAAGAGGACAATATCGGCTTCTTATACA